TGCTTCTCTCTGGTTATTGGGGAAGTATCTCTCTTAGTAGGAAAAGACAGCAGCCCCAGAAAGCAGGCCTGGGGGGTTAATCTGGACTGGGGGGGTTATTCTAGCCTAGGCCAGAGTAACCCCGGGGTTACTCTGGCCGGGGGGTGAATCTGGCCTGTTACAGCCGACCAGATTAACCCGGGGTTACTCTACTCTAGGCTAGGCCACAGTAACCCCAGGGTTACTCTGGCCGGGGGGGGGGGTTAATCTGGCCTGTTACACCGGCTCAGAGTGGGTGACAACAACTTATAGATATGCAATTAAAACCTTCTAAAATACAGTATACAATTAATCAAAGTCAATAAATACAATAAAATCAATAGGAGGATGACTATAGAATTTAAGATAGCATAAAACTCATACAGAGGGCAATATACAAACATCTGAAAGAAGGGGAGAAAAGGGGGGAAGCAAGGGGGGAGGGGAAGGCCAAAACTAGCTGTAGCCAATTGGCAGAACATAGGAGCCCGTTACTGCTCTCAACCATAGGCCCGGTAGAACAACTCTGTTTTGCAGGCTCTGTGGAATTGTACCACATCCCACAGGGTCCTGATCTTTCCTGGAAGAGTGTTCCACCAGGCCAGAGCCAGGGTTGAAAAAGCCCTAGCCCTGCTTGTGGACAGTCGGATGCTCTTTGGGCTGGGGACCACCAGCAGATTTTGGTCACTTGAGTGTAACGCTTTACGGGGGACATAACAGGAAAGGTGGTCCTGAAGGTATGCTGGTCCCTAACTGTTAAGGGCTTTGAAAGTCAGCATTAGAACCTTGAACTTGATTTGGTCTTCAATCTGGAGCCAGTGCAGCTGATAGAGCACTGATTGGATATGCGCTCTAAAGGGTGTTCCTGTCAGGACCCTCGCAGCTGCATTCTGGACCAGTTGCATTTTCTGGATGAACCTCAAGGGAAGCCCTACATAGAGTGAGTTACAGTAATCTAGACTAGAGGTGATTGTTGCAGCCGTGGTGACACCCTAGCCCGTGATTCTACATCAGCTGAGCAAGGGGGCACAAAAAGATGTTTTATGTGTGCCCACTTAAGCACAGCCATTTCAAATGCACCCACAATTTCAAATGATATTTAAGAATGCTTCAAAAGACAATCTGCCAATGCTTTTGGGCAACCCACTAAAATGAATAGATCTTGTGTTGGAACAATGGGTTGGATGCAATGATGCAAGGATCAAGGATTTTTCCCACATTCCCCTCCTACCAGTAGACCTTTTTTACACTGGGAAAGCATATTCTTGGAGTCACAGGACTTGTACAGACTAATAGTCACTTTGATCAGGAGTCTATAGTGGGAAGAGCAAAGGGCAAAAAATCATCCTCTCTTCCCTCATCCACCAGTGAAGCCACAATTATGGGAAAAGAGAAAAAGGTGATTTTGCTTCCTTCCTCTCCCCACTGGAGCCTCCTGACCAGCATGGTTATTATTTTATATGGGTCTTCTGACCCCAGGTATAAATTTTCTATGGGTGGACTGCTGTAGGAGGGAATCAATACCTGTCAGCAGCTTCCACTGATGGATCTCACTGGATCCAATCAAATTGCTTGGAGGACTGTACCTACTTCATGAAGTTGCTAAATACAGTTTGCTTTACATCCTCCTAACAAGCCACTTCATCATGGGAATATCCATCTCTTAATCACAATCTCTAGTATGATTTACCATGCTGATGCTCTCAAACACAAATACTTTTCTTGCCACCATGAACACACAGTCCTGGAAAAAATCAATCTGTTATGGAAACTATCTATATGGGCTTATGAGGCCAAGCTGTGATAACCATAATGAAGTGAGGTGAGGTGAATCAAGTCACCATGGAAAAGCAGTTTGGCATAAGGATAGCCTAACAAGTACAATGACCATAACTAGAAAAATTGAATAAAAACTAAACATTGAATAAAAAGTAAACATTGAATAAAAACTAAAAAAACTGAATAAAACAGTTGAGTTGCAATAATAAGCAGTAGTATTTCACAATATGATGAAAGTGGACCAACTGGGCTTTCTATAGAGAGATAATATACATCATACTGTTAGCTTTTCCTTTATTATCAATGTGTTCACTCTATATTATGCACTAGTTTTTTGTTGATACAATATAGGATAATTCTTAGGTCATTGAGGAATCATTTAAAAAAGTCAAACTAACCTCCAGTGTACACCCTTTGGTAATGCCGACATAATCAGGACTGCTTAGAAGATTGTATGGTGTTCGGGAAATCTCAATATCTTTGAGGCAGCCCGCGTATTTCTTTAAATTTACTTCAGGCCTGAAAACATAAAGTCAAAGCAGATTTATTCTCAAGGTTAACTAGTCCTTAAACTTCAACAAGCACAACACTATGTATACAGTCACAAAAATGCTAACACTGTTTCCTGATCCAGAGCAAATTAGTCAGTTACATTCCATTGAAACCAATAGGATAAATTAGTTGTGACTAGCTTTTAAAATCCCACTGATTTCAATGGAAATACTAAGACCAAGAGTCACAGTAAAGACAGATGAACTAACATAGGCTCAGAACTGTACATCGTTTTGGCAGTGATTCGTGTGAGTAAAGGAGCACAATCTGTTCTTCCAGATCCCGTAGTTTCACAAATGGTCTTTGGGAAGCTGTGCTTGGTCCAGTGAAATCGAACGTCAAACTGCATAGTCACATGGGGCATATGCTTAAAACAAATTATGTGTGATTCAAAAGATTCAAATGAAGAAAATTTAGCCGCATCCCCCTGCAGTCTAAACTTATGCCTGCCTGACTTCCTCTGAATTGGGGCCTTGTGTATAAACTCTGTTTTCCATCTTATGCCAGAAAAGAACTTTCCTCTACTTTTTCATTTTAGTACTGTTCTTAACCATGTGAACTATGAAGGAGATGATGGTGCTATTAAGTAGAGTAAAAACATAGAGGCTATAAATCATATCAAGAGATGATGATGACCCACTTCATATGTACAAAAATGTCCAAGATAAATGGTCCTAGCCTTACTGATGCATGGAGGAAGCAACATATGAGCTAGTGGAACCAGCTATCTCTGCAGTGGTGATCCATATAAGTATTGGAATATATTTTTAAAACTTCCCCTAGTAGTTTAAATCATCACAAGTAAGCTGTGTGTTCCTACAGGACTCATATGTTTCTTCTTTTATATGCCTGACATCATAAGCTTGTTCCACATTGGACAGTTCAAGATAACAGTGACAAAATACAATGTGTTCTTTCCTACTTTTAAAATATCAAATCAATAACACTTTGGGGGAGAACTAAACATTTTCTGAAAAATTACATCCATTATACTTCACTTTAGAAGGTGTTACCGGGATAGGCATTGCTGATGTGGTGGTCCAATAAAGCAAGGCTAACAAGCAACATAAATTGATATATCTAATTCTCAGCATATCCCTATCTGCAGATAGTTTGGTGTAGTGGTTAAGTGCGCGGACTCTAATCTGGGAGAACCGGGTTTGATCCCCCACTCTTTCACATGCAGCTGCTGGATGACCTTGGGCAAGCCATAGTTCTGTCAGAGGTGTTCAGTTTCTGTCAGAGCTCTCTCAGCCCCACCTACCTCACAGAGTGTCTGTTGTGGGGAGGGGAAGGAGTTTGTAAGCCACTCTGAGACTCCTTTGGGTAGTGAAGGGCAGGGTATAAATCCAGTCTCTTCTTCTACTACTACTTGAATCCACAGATCAGGGCCATGCTGACATAAGGCAGGTTTTTATCCAAACTTCCCACCACCCCTGCCCAGGTTTGCAGAAAAGAGGGTGCAGGATATTCACCCCCCCCCCCAACATACAGCATGCAAATGACTTTCTCCTGGAAGCAACCTTCTCCTCTTCTGCCCAATGCTGATGCGGCCTCATTAGAGGTATGCTGGTGGCTGAGCAAGAAAGAGGGAAAGTCTCCACCACATTGCAGAAAACAGTGTTAAGATGACAGTGCTGGAGGTGGGCAGGATCCTCCACTGTCCTCTCACTGCTACCATCAACACTAAGGTAGCAACACTGGAGGTGGGATGGAGCCTCTGCTGTCCTGCCATCAAAAGGGGCACTAAAGCAGCAGTGTCAGAGCTTCAGCACCCCCCTCCACAGCTGATGCTGCCATTGATGTTAAGGTGGTAGCTCTGGAGGTAGGCTAGAGCCTCCACTACCCCACTACCACTGCTGCAATTGCTGCTAAGGCAGCAGCACTGGAAATGGTCAAAGCAAAGCCTCTGCTGTGCCCTCACTGCTGAAATTGCTACCAAGGTGGCAGCAGTGGAGGTGGGGAGAAGCTGCCTCCATTCCCTCAACCCACAGCCAGGGCAGAGGACCTGGAAGTGGATGGGTGGGTAAGGAGGAGAGGGAGCCTCCACTCCCCATTCCTGATCTGTCACTGGTGGTGGTGGACAGGAAGGTGGTGGACATCTGAGCAAAATTTCCCAACTCTTGGAGGGGAAGAGGAGGGGAGGGGCAAGCTGTCTGGAAATGGCTAGCCCAGCAGTGGTGGGGGGAGGAGCATTGGATTCCCCCCTGCACAAATCTGGCAGGTCCACATTTGTGCAAATATACTTAGACCTGCTTCTGGACTGTCGCTACAGGGTTGCCAGTCTCCAGGTGGGCCCTGGAGTTCTCCTGCTTTTACATCTGATCTCCAGCTGACATAGATCAGCACCCCTGGAGAAAATGGTTGCTTTGAAGGGTGGACTCTGTGACATTATACCCTGCTGAGATTCCTCCCTCCCCAAATCCCACCCTCTTCCAGATCCATCTCCAAAGTCTCCAGGTATTTTCAAGCCCAGAGCTGGCAACCCTATGTTGTTACCATATTCTCAGATGACAGGTACAGATCATATCTATTCTTCTGGCTTTTGGATTTTCCCAATCAAAACAGTTCTTTTTTATCAGGAGAATCATTGGGTTAGTATTAGGTAAAGGTTCCCTTGCTCGAAAGCCAGTCGAGTCCGACTCTAGGGTTGCGGTGCTCATCTCCGTTTCAAAGCCGAAGAGCCAGCGCTGTCCGAAGACGTTTCTGTGGTCATGTGGCCGGCATGACTAAACACCAAGGCGCACGGAACGCTGTTACCTTCCCACCGAAGTGGTACCTATTTATCTACTTGCAATTTCTTGTTTTCGAACTGCTAGGTTGGCAGGAGGGTTAGTATTAAATGAGAGCAAATCTTATTTTACACACATTTTGTTAATCACTATTTTCTAGAACATTTCAGCAAGTAATTCTACAATTTCACAAGACAAAAAAAGTCTGCTGAAAATTGGTAGCTCTCCCGGCTCTGATAATTTGATTGAATCATTGGTGCATATATTGTGTTTCATTGTAGGTTTTATCAAAAAGGCTAGGATTTACTGGAAGCTGTTTTGGCTGTTATTAATTTTTTTCTCTGGGCAGAAGATTCCTAAAATACTAGTGGCTGGAGTTGACCACAGAACCATTATACAAATAGCTAAGCTTTTGTCCTCTGTAGTGAAAACATGGGCTGAGATAATGTCCTGTGTACAATTTTCTTCGATAACATCTAACCCTTTTCATTGTCTGATGTAGTAGGATGAACAATATATGTAGAAATATGATTTTAGGTAATTAATTAATGTTGTTTGTTCTGCTTCTGTGTGGCTTGTGGGCCTTAATAAAGATCAACTGATTGACTCTCCATGTATACACGGTTTAGGGGCTTGAACATTTACAGTCTTAATTTGGGAATACAGTTTTAATTTGAGTGTTCTGCCAGAGAGGTTGCACAGGAACCTACCTGTCTTCTTTTGTATCAAACTAAGCCCATTGTTGTTAGAACGTTTATCGTATTTTTCCTCACTCCTCTGGCACAGGATAACTACTTCATAAAAGTAACCCCCCCCCCACAGTAGTTTTCCTGATAAAAACAGCAGTTTAGTTAATCCTCTAATCCACGTTACTGCAATGACAGGATACAGAGACTGGCAACATCCGCAGATACAGATACAACTTGGCCAGTTTACAAAGTGAAAATGCACAGGAAAATAAGAAATTAAATTGTGAGTTTAGAAGGGAAAACAAGCACCCATAATTCAAATATTTGCACAATCTTAATTTCAAAATGACTGTTTGCTACAGTTTATTAACAATCCAGGTATATACCAATAATTTATTTAGTTGTTGTCAGGCTTTTTTGTTTTTGCATTATAGCCATCCCAGCAAAGCGTAGCATATCTATTACAAAAGCTGCAAATACCTAATAGTTTATACTAGCAAAAGAAAGAATAAGCCTCAACAGCCTGCAATTTATCAGAAGTAATCTGCCTCACCAAAGAATATCTGTTGGAGCTTCATTGCTCAAACTAAGTAGAGTTCCTGGATTCTTTATTCTAAAGCAGCCTTGGGTGGACCATCTTTCAGCAGTTTTTTTTAGGAGAAGAGAGCAGGTAAGTAGGTGCCTAATTCGTTCTAAAGCGGGTGTCCCCCTGCTGCTTTTTCATCCATGGTAGGAAAGATATAATTCATATAGGATATAATCATAGGAAAATATAATTCATATATGAATGAAAGATATAATTCATATCCTTCCTTATTAATAAAAGCCAGTTGGGGGTGGGAAGATTCGATGCGTGGCAAAATCAGTTGGCCACTTGAACTGCCAGTCAGAATGTCAGAAGGTCATTGGCTCCGTAGACTCAGTACTGCCCACACAAGCAGCACCGGGAAAATTTGCCTCACACTGTTCCTGGCTCCCTCAGACACTCCGGCCCACTCTGCTCATTTAGGAGGAGGAGCGATGGGCTTCCCTGGCCCACTGGCCTCGTGGGGCGGCCACGAGGGGGAAACAGCCACGCAGCACTTCCCTGGCCTGGTTTGGCCTGCCCCAGGGAGGCTGCAGGCCCTTCTTTGGGAGGGGAAGGGACCGGCCAGCCTGCTCTGCCACCCCTGGCGACACTGGGGCAGCCCGACTGGGCTCGGGGAGGGAAGCCCAGTGGCCTGAAGACGTATCTGAGCGGTGGCGACAGCACCTGGCTGGTAAAGGCGGGTCCACTCCAGCAGGGCCTGGACCTCTGTTTTTCCCCTCGCTGGTGCCGGCCTGCCTCTGGGGCACTCTCCGGGGCTGGGGGTTGCAGAGTTCCCCCCCAGGCAACTTCCAAGGCTGGATCGTGGCCGCTGAGCAGCCGCAAGCCTATCTGGCGGTGCCCTGCAAGGGCCGCCAGGTAGGCAGGCAGGCAGCTGCAGTGGAGGAACCCGGCAGTGGTGGCGTCTGCCGGTGGAGCCATTCCGTCTGAGGCGAGGGCCTGGCTGGCTGCCAGCCTCCTCCCACTGGGCCATTGAGTCAGTTGGCCGGCGCTTGCAGCAGGAAGAGGGCGCTTCTTTGGGAGGCAGCGGGGCACACAAGTGCAGGCACCGCCCAGTCTTGCGGGAGGGCGCCTGCGAGGGAGAAGCCATCAAAGGCTGCTGCAGTCGATGGGGAGGAGTTGTTGCAGTCTATGGGGGGGCGCCGGGCTTCCTTGCGCAGCCCCCCCGCCTAGCTCGCCCGGCCCGACTGGGCTCGGGGAGGGGGGAAAGGGCTGCACTGCGCTTCCCTGTGCCGGTGCTGCCTGGCCGTGAGTCGCACTCACCCAGGCCCTCTTCCTAGAGCTCGTCACATTCATTTTCGCAACAGGCCTTTCTCTTTAGTAGGATATAATTCATATAGGAAAAAATATATAGGTGTCCCATATCACATAGCATGGATGGAAAAGTAGTTTGGGGAAGAAAATCTGAACTGAAAAAGGACCTGAGGAGAAATGCCTAAGTGCTTCTTTTACACACACACACACACACACACACACACACACACACACCCCTATTCATATCATAATTTGTGGTCTGGGCCTCAAACATAAACTTGCATCTTCCAGTGCCATTTAAAAGAGATTCCCCACCTGTCAATAAGCAACTCTTAGCAAGCAATGTGGAAGCCTTCACTTATTGTAAAAATCCTCAATGACATAAACTCCATATTCCAGGGTTTCTAAAATTAATCCCTACAAATTTGAGTTTACTCTTATGTTAAAAGAGCCACAATATTAAAGTCTAGGTTTAATTTTATATAAACCCAGAAAAGAATAGTAAAATCTCATTATTGAAAGCAATGGCCAAAATATAGGAGTTAATATTTTCTTTTTTTTAAATTCGTCACCAAGTCAGCACTGTAGACCTAGCTTACAGCATCCAAACTGACCAACACAAATTATATATTAAGAATGATTAGCTCTATGTAATCTAGAGGCAATGTACGCTTGAACTGCACATACTAGAGACAAATAATAAATCAGATTATTGTCCATGCCCTGCATTTGATCACCCAGGAATATTTTGCTGGCCTCTGCTGGAAACAGAATGGTGGACTAAGTGAAATGAGTTGTCAAAGGCAGTTATTATATTATATCCTTATCAGCATCAGAGCTGGTGCAGCTGTCAGCCTCCATCACGGGGCCCAGCTGTGACTTCTCCCTCCCTAATCACTGCTGCTATCGCTGGGGCCATAATGGCTCCTGGCCACCCCCCACTGGTGTTGGGTCTGGTGCTCCCCCCAACCTCCTTTGTCAGGTCCACAGGTTTTCCCTCTCCCAATCACCTCCCAGCCACCCCAACCCCGTCATCACCACTGCTGCTGTCTGGAAGAGGTAGGTGCTTTGTCTGAGCATGTGCAGACAACACTTTTGTTATTGTGAGGATTTAAACCCCCAGTGTATTTTTAAAATTGTTTTCAGATTTTTCTACAAACCTTGGGGGTACCCCAAGTTTGGAGAAAAATCTCTGTTCTGTCATTGTGGGCCTTACCTGTGGATTTAGATATCCACAGATTGATCTACATTTGACTGATTGAATACACAGTACATAAGAAATACCTATGCCTATAAGAGATGTACATCTAGGCTGAATAGAAAGGTTAGAGTCAGATGTTTTTCTAAACAAAATAAATAATCTTTGAGACTGTCATTCAGTTTTACAGGTTTATGTACATGTTTAGTTATCCATTTACTCCATACTGAGCAGAAACTCCAACTGAATTTTCAAATATAGCCTCCCCTTAGATTTTTTCTTTTAACCAAGCCAGTCCTGATATAATTAATTGAAAAGAGAAAAGACCCAACACAGCAAGATGTAAACAGCTGTGCAAAGATGCTAGCTAAAGTGTTTGTTGCAGCAAGAGTGCGCACAGCGTGCGGCAAGGCTGTGTTAAGCACTTAGGAGTAGCTTGATTTGCTGCAGCAGGATCTGTTGCCAAATGAACAGCCCCAGAGCAACAGCTGGAACAAATACACACACAAATTGCTTTCTGTTTTGCCACCTGTTGCAAGCCGCGCTTAACCCATGCAAAGCATAAAACGTGCAGGTATGGATTTAAATTGGACATCTTTTACCTTGATTTCATACTACGATCAAAATTAAAAGAGAGAAAGAGAAAAAAGCAATTATATAATGTAATTATCATATTTATAGCAAATCACATTCATATGACACAGGTTTTTCAGACTGCTTCCAATGGCCCACTGTAAAGAATATATACAAATATATGCTTTCTGTTATACATTTCTCTATGTACACTATATATTAGCTAAGAACCAGTTTAGTAATGAGCTACAAATCACAACTATTGTATGAATGCACTGAGGCTGCAATCATAAGCAATGTTCCCTCTAAGCTGTGGAATCTTGTGAGCAAAAATCATACTTTGTGAGCTACTGGCATTAAAGTTGTGAGTGAGCGATTTGGCTGCTGCATAAATGAGTTTGCTCTGGAGCCCTCCTTCCTGAGCTAAGACGAATAGGTGTGAGCCGGAGGCTTAAAAACTGTGAGCTAGCTCAAACTCACTCAGCTTAGAGGGAACACTGGTCATAAGGACATTTTCCTGGGAGCAAGCCCCACTGAAATGCATGGGGCTTGGTTGTGAGTAGACCTGCTAGGTTTGCTCTCCCCCCTAACCTTAGTCAATCCTAGCATTAGACTCTGGTTTGCAACGTGTAAACAGTTCTGATCTATTTTACAGAGTAATCATATGGATGACAACAGAATAATGTATAAGTAGCAACCTGAACATTTGAAAGTAGTATATGAGAACTAAGTATTCATATTTGTAAAATTCCTCTGTCCATGAATAGCTTTGAATAGAAGGGGGAGATTTGTCCAACAAAGATCAATGGCAAAAATTCACAAAACTTGACAGAAAATAATGGAGGACTCACCTGACTACTCTCCTTTGTTGCAAACTCACATGGTAGCTGTAAATAGCATGTGCCCTAGCCCGAAATCACTGTGGCCCTCCCAAAAACCTAGGCTAGCATTCATTAGGGTTATGCAGTCCTTTTCATTTTCAAAAAAGTCATCTTTGTTGCTAAATTAATTATTGCACTTTTTAATCCCTTAACCCCCCCCCCCCACACACACACTCCTGTCCTGCAAGCCTGCAGGCTGGCGCTGAAACTTGGCCCACCCAGTTCAACAGTGTCAGAAATCCTGGGGCCTACATTGCCCAGGAAGCCTTGGAGTGTGGTTAACAGTGGCATCCAAGGCTGCTCTCACTGGAGGAGGGAAGAAGTTATCTTCTACCCATTGGCCTCTCATCTCCCTCACCAGATGGGACAGAGTGGGGTTTGTAGCAGTGGTCCTATCCCGGGCCCACACGAACAATACAGGAGGAGGAAAGCCTGGAATTCAGTTTCATATCTACTGGCAGTCTCCCCCTCCCTTTCAGTCTGAACTTTGCTTGAACTCAACCATACCACCAGGCCCTAGAATAATGAATATTAACTAATGTAATTAGTTTTCTATCTGTTTTGGTTATAAGTGTTATAATAACCAGAATAATGAACAACATTTTTTTCATTAGTTAATAAACACAGAGCTATTTTATATATGCAGTAGTGGTGGACCTGCCTGATTGGGTATGAAGAGGATAAGCTTGAGGTTTCCTATCAGATCTATTTCTAAACATATAAAGTACTGAGACTGAGGAATAGCGTAGTAATTTCAGCTCATACTTTACTTAGGAAAAAGAGAAAACTGGAGATACAGTAGCTGGCCAGAGGCCCGCTTTAAATACAATTACAAACCACACCCCAACACACACACACACCTGTGATTGGATTATTTACAGTGTTATTGTAACCATGGGTTCCCTTGAGGATCCGGATGAGCCGATAGGCTGGTTCTAGGATCCTCTCCTTCTATTGTCTAAGGATGCGAAGCTAGGTAAGTTCGCATGGCCATGTGTAAGGGCGACCACACGCGTGGTCGCCATTAGAACACAACAAAACATAAGGCATGAGGCTGAGTGATTTTATTAGGGATCAGGCCTACCAACTGAAAGCTGTTTTATATAATTTTAAAATGTGTTAATATCCACTAAATTTCTTTTGAATGGGAGAAAGGAGAAATACTTGGGTCATAATTAGGGTTGCCAACCTCCAGGTAGTGGCTGGAGAGCTCCTGAATTTACAACTGATCTCCATGCAACAGTGATCAGCTCACTCTATGACATTATGCCCCACTGGCGTGGGGCATACATTTCTACAAGAAGTGACCAATGATAATTAGAAGCATGGGATGGGGCAGAAGAAGACCTTTGTGGGAGGGTGAGGAAGAATGCTTGGTTTCCCTCCTTCTCAGCTCCATGGCACTAGCATTCCAGATTGTACTGTGGCAAAAGTAAATCTTATCAACTGGTGGTTCCTTTTGCTCACTGGCTTCACAAAGATTCTTGGCAGTGGGGTTTCCGGTGCAGGTATGTGGGATACAATTTTTATTGTGTGAAAGAATATTAACTACTGTCCAACATACAGTAAGTACAGTAACTATCTATTAAAGTAGCTGCATGTGAAACCTCCTGTTGGCACATGGACTGAATTTTCATGTGTAGCATGTGTGCATTCATTGTCTATGATGAATGTGTTGGAGCAGTATCCCATGAGGGGATGCTGAAATGTTTGTGCAGAATAAGGTGGCTAAGTAAAGATACAGTGGACAATAAATGATGGAAAGGAGGATGTTTTTCTAATCCCATAATATTGGCATTGATTTACTCATTGGAGTTGACAGGCAATACATAAAGGACTGTCAAAAAAATTCTACACAGTGCATAACTAACATACAGAATTCACAAGCACAAGTATACTCATTTAGATGGCTTAAATGATTTCACAGGTTCATGGGTGATAGGACCTATCAAGGGTTGTCAGCCATGACATCTAAATGGAACCTTCTTATACAGAGACAAAGCACCTTGGCTAGGTCAATAAGGAAAGGTCCTTATGATTATTCCCTCCATGTGAGCTGACTACTATGTCAAATAGGATATTGGACACGATGGATCTTTGCTCTGATCCATGAAGGAAACTCTTTTTTGTGTGTTTTCAATTAGATAAAACAAAGTATTTTATGGCCTACAGCTTATGCAGTTTGACCATTTTAAATCTGTGCTACTGATTTTGTTTTGTAATGACCTAAAGCTAGAACTAAGAAAATTAAAAAGAATGCAATAGTGGCATTTTCAGCGCTTACAAAATAATAAGCAAGCTGTTGGGCTAAACAGGAGTACTTTGGTAGCTCCTTACTTTGTATGTTCTTGCATGGGCACAAGGTGACTGTATTTGTTTCATGTAGATGAAGCTGCTACAGCTAAATAGGACTGCTAATGTTATACAGTACCTATACTGTTATGTATCACAATGGAATCGCATTTGCGAAAGGGCTCGCAAGCGAACATGCGAAATAGCGTAGCTTGGAGCGCATCACAATAGAAGGCTTGGATCCTAGAATGAACCAATAGATAGATCCGGATCCTAGCAGTAGCCAATTGGTAAACAATACTCTGTAAATAGCCTATCATGGGATGTGGGGTGTGTGTTGGGTGTGGGGTGTTTCACGAATATAAGCAGGGCTCTGACCCTGCAAGTTTGTCTTAGTTTGGAGCTGAAACCACTTAATAAACATGAGCTGATCACGTCTGAACCCAGTATATCTCATATACTTTGTGACAGAGAGAACTGAAGGAATGTTTCTGTAAACTTCCTAAAGGTTATTTCAGAACAGTTAAAAGACCTATTAAATCTAACACCTCATCCTCTCCCAGAGTATTAAAGAAGACTTAAAAGCATATGAACATATTTTATACATAGTAAAATTTACAATGGAATCTTCACCTGACCAAGTAATTCAATATGGACCTCATATGGAATAAAGGGGAATGAAATAAAAATACATTCTGAGACATTAAAAAAATAGTGAGGCAGATTATATGTTCTGCTTCAACCTTGGGCCTTAAAAGCTTGGCTATTGCTTCTCTTGAGCAAATGAAGGCCTCAAAGGGCATGACTGCAGAGAAGCAACGTTAAGCATGAATCAAGGGCTTCTGCAACTAGTTCGTTTCCCCTCAAATGCCGCCCCAGCCCAGTTTCCAGACCCATGTTTGTAATGGAAACATGGGTGAGAACAGAATTAAAACCCTCTTCCTCCTGAAGCTTCTTCACTGCTAATTGTATTGCCCATTCTCTGTTTTGATAGGAGAAGCAATGTCTGGTCTTTGTAAGACATAAGATTGAGGAGGAGCTTTCTCAACATGCAATATCGGACATATGTGTGTGGTTTTTAAAAGTTTTCAAGAACTGGATGTTTTAATTTAAAAAGTAGGGCAATTACCATATTTTAGTCCCTGCTTCTGTACAGAACACCCACGTAGGACACAATGGAAAAATCTGATTTAGACACTGACACAAAAGTAGGCCATTACTTTTTTATTTGAACAGGAACCCTTCATGCCACTTGGGAAGCTACTTTTGAAATTCTCTATGTTCCAAAAATATATTGTCATATAATATAGGAGAAATGCAATTTGAAAGGGAGACAGGTCAAATTCCAGAGTTTCACTAGTTAAACTTAGTAAGATCCCCCTCACTCATACACACTTACACATACACACTTGGCATGTGGTTGCTACCCCATGGCTACTACCCCACATGACAAATCCATCTTACTGAGGCAAGTGTGTGAACTAAGAAGCCCCAATGACAGAAGCAATTATATGGGATTTGTCACCTGATCAGGAAGACTCAGTGCAATTGGGTCTGCCCATGGGTTTCTGTAAACTTTCCAATGACATGGGACTGCATTATGGGGAAGCATATCCCTTGACGATGAATAGCTATGATGGAACCCCCTCTTGTGGTTCTCTAGACTGTAATAATGGAATTCATAATGATTTGTTTCTTCAATATCCACAGCATCAATCACATCTAAATAGAGGCAGGTGTGGCAATCTAAGCAATGTGATGGTCAAACTTTTCTAGTCAGAAGCCCCATTCAGCAAGAACTGAGATGTGTATCAACTGTACATTTATTTTTTTTCGAAGAACGAATCTGAGTGGTATGCAGAAAGATATGCATGCATGAGTCAGTTCCTTCCATTTAAACGAATGGAGAAGACATTCCATATGGTGGAGCTCTATGAATGTTGTGGAGCTCATACATTCTGATGAGATAAGTGGATTAGGGCAATAATGAATAGTGATCACCCTTCCTTACTCAACACATTCTGATGAGATAAGTGGATTAGGGCAACAATGCATAGCTAGAATAGCAATCACCCTTCCTTACTCAACGTGAGATCCAGCATTTAGAGTGAGGTCCCAAGAAACATGAAAAAGGATACTATTCTAGTTTGGCATACTCATATGCTCAGAATTGGCCTTAGCTCATGATGCTAGGGACTTTAGGAGACCTCAGATGGGGGAGAAAGGTAAAACAGATGGGGCAAAGCAAGGTTGGAAGGGAAATAAGATGTGAAATAGTATGAGCCATCTTTGTTTGATGACTTCCACAAGACCTAACATTTCTTTTGGACGCCATGCCCGTAGGATAGTGCTGGTTCAGGTGAGTATTTTTGTCTCTTCAAAAGCAATATCTACTATTGTCTTGTAACAGGTGTAAAGATAGAAAAGATAACCCTTGTGTTTCCTGTTCTTTCTAAGAACAAATACACTATTTTACAGAATTATTAATTAAATTCACTTTATGAGCACAGTTTTGCCATGGAATTACTACCGTTTGTTTATGTGTTAAGCACAATTACCTTAGATTTCTCAGTGTTGGCAATCCACCAAAATATATTGGCTCATTGGATTTCAAGTTGAGGCCAAAGTGTTTCCCTGTAGAAGTTGTTGAAATGATCTCTTCCTGATTTGAGTCTATGTCTACAATGGATATGTTTGCTAAGAAAAGAGAAAAAGAAAGTTTAATGTATCTGTCCTGAAAAGTTTGAAATGTTTAAAATTAATTTGGCTGTCCCAAGGAAACAAGCAAGCAAGACAATTTACAGAGATATTTTGAATAAAAGAAAATGAAGAACTCATAAAAGAAAACATAAACGATGGCCACTCTATTGATATAAATGCTTGTTATGAGAAACTGAAGAATCTAAGATGACAACACCAATAGTTAAAAAGTCAAAACACTTTGTGTTGAGTCACTGTTCCCCGTGACCCTTTGAGTTCAATCTGCTAAGAAAAATGATTTCTGTACATGATTGTTTGTTTTTGGAACAGGATTATGCTAGAAATCTAAATATAGTACAAGATATCAAGTCCCAAAAGAGAGGCATCAGTCAGTCTGGATAGCTCTGAGAGTGAAGTTTAATAAATAACATTAAGGATAGGTTATCAGGAATGGTTGTCTTAGCAAACAGTTTTGCAATTAAGAACATGATTGTGGAAACAAATGTGATGGGTTTGACCAGCTGCAGGATTTTGCAGTCTGACTCCAAAACAGAGTTTGGTGTGTGGCCAGGACTGGGAAAATTTCTTTTCATGTGCAGAAAAAAATGATATCCAGATTTTAGGGATCAGAGAGATGATCTGCATGTCTTGAAAAGCTCAAACTGTCATATTTTTTCTTATCTTAAATGCAGGACACACACTGCCTGCCCCATAAGAAATTTCCGAAGTTACATATTTTAAAAAAATAATTCCTCCTACTCATAAAAGTTTCAACTGATTAAGTCTCTCCATATTCTCTTTTTTATTTTATTTTAAGTGGAATTCAGTCACAACTATAGTAATCACATACATTAAAGATGACTGTGATTTACATGAAGCTTTTCTCCTTGCTGCCCAGGAAACTGTGACTCTTAAGAAAATGACCTATTGTATATTTGTTAGATAGAGACACTACACTACTAGCATTTAACTCACTGCCTTTTAAAGCACTTCGAGATATCCATGATATGAAAGCTTTCATGAAGTACAAAACCAATTTACATTCCAACAGAAATAGTGTAGGTTTGTTTTATGAACTTTCAACAACATCAGGGCACTGCATGAAAAATGCATTTTAGAGTATAATTTAGGCAGCTGTAAGGCAGAATTATGCCTGAAAAATTAAGCTTCCATTTTCAAAAGAAAATCATAAGAGACCTGTTTGACACTGCAATCAGTTACAGCTAACCCAAGTCATCTGTAATTTAAGCAAAAGAAGTTGTTAAATCACTTTCTTTTACAACTTTCTAAACCCAGCAATTTTGTACATCATCTTCCCCATGATTAGATAGTTAGCTGTGCCGGATAAGATAATTAGGACATTTATGATGTTATCACTGCAGGAACTCACCTTGTTTTAGAATTCTTGACAAGGTGAATGATTTCCATTTCCCATCATTGTGGTTCTGGTTGCCGATAACTGAAGCTGTTCCTGAACCTAGATCGTAACTGACTTTAATACGCCCATCACTGAGCTCTATGCTCATGAAATCTTTCTGTTAATGAGAAGCATTAGAAATGTTATTTAGATATTGAATGACAGGTTCACTTTTCTAATGCCAAATAATCAGAGATGGTGCTTGTTTTTTTCTTCTGGCAATGTGCAATTTTTTTTTAAAAAAAAGCTAAGGCAGTATAAATAAGGCATCGTAGCAGGGTTCATTAGCTGCTGCTTCAGTTCCTAGGAAGGTCATTGACTAAAATGAAAAGATGTTGCTCTTTAATTTCCAATCAGGCAGTTAACCTATTGTGAATGGCATGGTATGGTGTAGCGAGAGCAGCTTCCATTAATCATGAAATGCAGATCCAGCTAACATAAGAAATATGACCTGATAAATAATTTTCAGTCCAAGGCTGCAAATTAATATTCTTTGAAAAGACAGTATCCAAGTAAAGTATAAATTCAGAGGCAGTAACCCTCTGAAACCCAGTGTTAGGAGGCAACATAAAGGGAGGGCCTTTGTTCCTATGCCTGGTTGGCTACTGAGTGAAACAGGATGCTGACCTACATGGACCACTGGTCTGATCCAGCAGGGCTTTTCTTATATTCTTCTGAGGAGAACAGAAGAAACACTGCTCCATTCGGTCCCATAGGATCTGGCCAATTGGAGGCATTATGCCTGTGCATGAGAAATGTTAATGGCCTGTATCTTCATATCTTCATATACATATTTTATTCTTTATTAATAAATATAAGGCACAAGAGGTCAAATTCTGATTCTATGTAATTAGTTTATGCAAGTTCAAAAACAGGTTGTCATGAGTTCTTTACCTTAATTGCAAAAAGAACATATATTGGCCCAATTTAGCTATAAATATGCCAATAAGAATGCCATGAAGAATACTGTCACATGGTAAACCATTTACAACATTGTGATGTTAGAAGTCAGTTTAGAACTCGGGAGAATCTAATCCCCTCTCAACCACAAACGGGCTCAGTGCAGTGCAGTGACTTTGGGCTACTCGCTTTTTGTGAGCTTGTTCTAGCTCATAGAATTGTTTGGAAGAGTGCTTTGAAGGAAAGGTAATGTGAAAAATATGATAGATGAATTGCTGATGTTTTCAGTCCACATCTGAACTTTGACAATCTCAGATAACTTTTTTTAATGTCTGGAAACATACTGACATATGTGGACAATCAAATAAATGACATTTTCCGTATTCCTGTGTGTATGCCCTAATTAGATTTGCCCATGTAAAGAGCTATTACTGTTGCTTTGTTGTGACTCTTTGTTCTGTCATTTATTTAGCATTGCTGGAACCTTATAAATTACTGTATAGTTTTGCCATCTTTTAAATGGTTTTAACCAATTTACTGTGATAATTTGTTTTAATGGTTATGTAAGTTCTCTTGTTGTCACCTGCTCTGAGCCGGCTTGCAGGGAGGGCGAGATATAAATCCAACAAATAAAATAAAATAAAAATAAAATATGCTAAAAAGTAAGAACATATATTTCTATTTCAGGATAATCATGAAATTCATTTAAGATTGTGAATATTAGCCTATGAGTGTCACCATTCATCAAATTTGGTCTTTCACTGCAACATATGCTTTAAGGATGGGTATATGTAGTAAAAAAACAGAATGGCAGCTTGCTGACATTGAGATGGACTCGTGAGTACAAGCATTTCTGTATGAACAATAGGGCTGTTATATTCCCCCCACCTCTACTGTTCTGTGTCCTGCTCCTCCCATATATTACTCAAATTCTGGGAGCTACTTGTTCAGCAGAAGGTTGGAGAGGGGTCATAATTGCTGATGATTGCATAGAACTCATCACATGTCCCTTTGGAATGGAATCAAGTCCCCAAAATAATAGAAACAACACCTGTAGCTTTAAGAAATAATGCTCACTTAGTTCTCATTTGCCATTTTGGAAGCTGCCAGGCAATCACACCAAGGCTTCCATGCCTTGGTTTCTGTAAAGACAAGCCTGGATGGGGACACTTGGGAGGCCAAAACAGCCCTGGAAAAAGTCCTATTTCTTGCCATGTCCCCAATGGAGGATCACTCACTGGGGACAGGCCTGGAAGCAACCACTGAAGACTCACTACAAGCACCACCTGGCCTGGTCTGGCAGTCACCACTAAACTGGGCATTGCCTGGCAGAGGCCCCCCCCCCCATGCAATTGGGCATTGCCAGGCAGTGGGCATCATGCAATAGAGCCTAACTCAACCTGGCCTGGGTCACAGACACTGTGCAACTGGGCTTGGCCTGGAGCCAACCACCAGATACTGGCTACTGCACCCTGCTTGGTGTACCTGAATGTGGATGTTTCCTTAACTCACCATGCCTGGTAGCCATTTAAGGGCCTATCCTCCATGAATCTGTCTAACCTTTTAAAGTAATCTATGCTCATGGTCATCACTACCTCCTGTGACAGTGAATTCCACAGTTCAATTAATCATTGAGTACAGTACATTGAGCTGCGGTGGCTCAAGTGAATTGCAGGCTGTGGAAGGTTGGTAGTTCAGCAGTTCGAGACCCGAGTGTGCCGCATGACAGAGTGAGCTCTCGTCCCTAGTTCCAGCTCCTGCCAACCTAGCAGTTCGAAAGCAAGAAATTGCAAGTAGATAAATAGGTACCACTTCAGTGGGAAGGTAACAGCGTTCTGTGCGCCTTGGTGTTCAGTCATGCCGGCCACATGACCACGGAAATGTCTTTGGACAGCGCTGGCTCTTCGGCTTAGAAACGGAGATGAGCACTGCAACCCTAGAGTCAGATTCGACTGGCTTTCGAGCAAGGGAACCCTTACCTTTTTACAGATTTATTTCCTTTTGTCTGTTCTGTATCTATTGCCCATCAATTTTATTGAGTTCTTGTGTTATGGGAGAGGGAGAAAAGCTCCCTTCATTCACATTCTCCACCCCATGCATAATTTTATAAACCTCTACCCTGTCCCCTCTCACTCATCTCTTTTCTAAACTAAAAAGACGCACAATCTTCAGCCTTTCCTCATAGGAAAAGTACTCCAACTCCTTGATCATTTTGGTTGTCTTCTTCTGTACTTTTCCCAGCTCTGCATATCCTTATGGTGAATCTGTGCGCACCTTCAATATCCCCATCCAGATTCTTCTCTCCATGCTTTTAATCACAGAGGAAGGGGCTATAGAAAGTGCACATAGATTTCTTCTCCCTGGATGGCTTAGTAAGTTGTTTCTTGTGTGCTCTGACTCATGTCCATAATCAGGACTGGAAAGTAACAGAGCTCTATTGAATCTCACTGGGATTCATCTGCACAAACGTATCATACTCTTACAAAAGGAGGTCACATCTATATTGATTATAATGCCTTAAAGGACTAACAAATCATTACATACAAAATAGATTATTAAAAAGATGTAAAAAAACTCAGTGAAATATTTTTGAATTTGTCATTGTGGCAAGATAAATTGCCCAAAGGCCATATAGTCCTATACGTCAGGATTCTTTAACAATACAAGATTTTTTTTAGAAAATCAGAATTTGCAAGTCATAATGATTTGCTTAGAACTTATATTGTAACACATGTTAACAAAAGAGGGTGGAAAGAGATTAGATTAATTTTACCAAATCTTGTGTAGCAAGGTACATCAGAAGAGCAGTGGAAGAGAACGTCTTGAACTTGAACATGACCATGGAGATATTTGGGTTCCATCTTATTGGGCGGCTCACCATAGCATACCCCTCTCCATCAAATTGAACAGTTCCCTCACTGTCAGCCACCTGTGGACTAGTAATGAAAGAAACTTTCAGAATATGACAGGCTTTCCCAGAAATTGTGGATAACTTAAATGGCAATTTGGAGTTCTGTTTCATATAGAGTACTTTATGAAACTGAAGACTTCAGTTCCTGTAGGTTTTCAAATAGATACTTCCTGAGAAACAAGTGGGGAAGAAAGCCAGCACCTTATGAGTAAGCAACATGTTTCTTTGTTGATATGGTAAATTCACTTGAAAACAATCAGATGCATTTCAAAAGCATGAGGTAGAAAGGCTTGACTGGACTTTCGTAAGGTTGGTCACCGTAACAAATAAGTCAAATCATAGTGATTTTATTTCTTATATAAACATTGTCAGGGCAATTGACTCTACTAGACTGAATCCACAAAAGGACACTTTGTCAATGGGTGGCAATCTTTACCTTTTCCCCTCCCATATCAAACCCTGCACTTTTCCTGAGGGTCCTCTAGTGCTATAAGTAACAATTATGGGTGATGGTGGGTGCAGTGGGAGATAGGAGGGAGGAAAGTTTCATTCAGTGAGCTTTAGATATTTAGACGCCCTTAATACTTTTAAAAATATTTCTTTAATTCTCAGTCACCACTTTAGTTATATGTGTACATCAGAGGCTGGATCAAGTGAACTGTCAGTGGGAGGTACTGACAGACCTTTTCTCCCCCCCACTTCCACCTGCAGTCCTTTCTGACCCTGGGAAAGTTGATTCCTAGTGTTGTGGGACATGCATGGACTAATGGCAACGAAAGTGTCAGGGTTCCCAATCAAAACACTCAGCAACGTTCCTTCAGAAGTTTCAGTTTACTGCGAGTTAGTACTTAGGACATCATGAACTCTTGTGTCAGAAATGGCGGGAGAAAGGCGAACACGTATAGATATACCCCCTTCAAACGAGAAGCCCTGATACAGCCAAACCAATAAGCAAGCACCTGAAGGTGCGGGCAAGCAAGCAGCGGTTACATTCCCAGCAGGAAAAGCGGACCCAGCAGAGCTTAGACTTCAAGGACACTTGACAGATAACAGAGCACAGCTGAGGAGGCGAGGGGGGATGGGAGGGAGGAAACTGAGAGAGCACCCTGCACATACCAAACCATAGTAGCATTAGCTGACAGAAAGTTGGTTTGCGATGAAAAGGGGAAAGAGGGAAAAATTGCCTCTCCTAACATGTTTCACCAGAAATGCTGCACGCACAGAAGGGAAGGTTTTGCCACCTCCCTGACCCACATGGCCATCAGTCCAAATGGATCCCATGACCCAATCAGTTTCCCTAGGGTTGGAAAGGAATGCATAGGAAGGGAAATAAGAGATTAATTTGTAGTTCTTATGTCCATGAGTCACTGGATCTAGCCTAATGACTTCATGTAGCACTGAATGTATTACTTTTTGCCTAACAATCTTTGCAGGCTGTTACACCAGGGTGATTTAACAAAATCATAAAATATATATGCTACATGCTTTGTTTAATTTATGACTTTAATATAAATAAAATTATATTTGATCTAGAACAACATCTGAGTCTAGTGGAACCTTTAAGACCAATAGAATTTTAATCAAGGTATAAGTGTTTATGTGCACGCACCCTTTTCCAGATGCAATTAAATAGAAATTACCAGTCCTTACATATAGAGGGTGAGCACTAAATTACCATACAGCATAATGAAGATGTTTAACAAATTCAAGGACCAAACAGGAATTACAAGCTTAGTTTATCTGGTTACCATTTGTTTGGGTTTAATTCCGGGGGGAAACATAGTGAAGGAAATAAATATGTCAAAAATGGAAATTGATGGGCAGGTGTATCCACAATTAAGGACTGAAGTGCCACTGGACTCAAACTTTGTTCTGCTGCTTCAGACAAACATGGCTACCCACCTGAATCTGTATTTGATCTAGTAAGTTATACATTATATTGCCAAAATACATTATATTGCCAAAAAACAAATAATATACAGAATAATCTTACCTGACAGCACATCCTTTACATTCTCCCTCAATGTCCCTGAAATTCCACAGTCCTATTGGTTTGGTGTCTAAATAAGTCTCACCCATACATCCAGTGAAAGTAGTGACTCTCACAGCATCAGATTTCTAGAAACAGAAAACATGTTGGGCTGAATTCTGAGCTCCTTGTTCAAGGATAATATTACAATCGCATGAGCTTTGGTTCATCAGTCAGGCAACATTTGTTCACAGTGATCTTGTCTCCTACTTGCCCTTGATTTTTTTCTTCTTCAACAGATGTGGAATCTATTCAGCTATGAAAACAAGAGGACACAGTCCTTCATGTTCAGGGAGTGTGTACTTCTGCTAGACTAGGGGTCTGATTGGTTTTCTTGTCTCATTTTTTATAGACTATTAGTGGGTAGTTCATAGCATCTACAAGAAGAACTATGGCTGGATCTCATTATAGAAGCCGCAACCTGCACATACAAGCAGCTGCAGAGTGGCTGTCTGGAATCCAAAGCATATGGCCACTGCTCCACATGGTAATTTGTTAGCCATGTGAGTTTGCAAATTTCACCTTTATTGAAAACAATTTTCTTCAATTATTTCTGTTGGACCTCATTATAACTGTAAGACTCCCAAGTAACTCTTTTCAGAGCCTTCAAAGTTCTTCCATAATCAAACAGGACAACAATTGGATGATTTTAGATACAATCAGAAATGCTATCTCGAAAACTCTAAAAAAGAGACTGAACGAACCTTTATTACTTTCCAGCCACAGAAGCCACTTGACAAAGTTAAATTAATTATGCTGAGTATTATTATTTTTTTGCGGGTAGACCAGCAATAATAATAATAATAGATTCCAAAAGCTACTTGGCTAAGGTCATATGGCCTACTTGAAGAGCATTTGTTCCAAGAGGAACTTGTCCTTTTCAAAAGTATCCAATTTTCTTTTATGTTTCGCTTTGTCAATATGAGCTAGTTTCTATTCTAGATATTTAGCAATTTGAGACCCACAAGCACCTGCTACATTTCACTAAGCAATTATGAATATTAATAATATTAATGTGCAAGCATATGGAGAAGAGCAACTTGACTTTCAAAGGGAAGCATGACTTGAAAGTCTAATCATTTGGGTGATCTGTCCCAAGGTCATTGTGAATGTTTTAATTGGCAATGTGTGAATTTAATGCTGTTTCTGAGAACTTCATAGTGCGTAGAAACTGTGAATTCTATTTTTGTCAAACTGAAACAGAACATATCTTTTTAAAAGGAAGCTAACAGACAATTATAAAATATATATTCATTAACAAATCCTATGTATTGATCACTTAAAGTGAAAATGGCAGGTGCCACTTTAATACTTTGCCAGTTGGCAACCCAGGTATGTGCACAGCAGGAGTTCAGATGTGTCACACAACAGGTGGGGAGAGGGCAAACGGGGAGACTGGCAAGTAGGCTGCCTCATTCTCTCTGCACCAGAGAATTTAATGGCATAATTCAGATCAGGTTGTAACTGGGGCACCCTACATTTAAAACATGTTATAATGAACATCCAATTTAACCGCTTATCTGCTAAGTCTCCACAAACTGATTTCATCTATATATGAACCAACCAGGATGCTGAACAGCAAAGTTTGTTTACGTTACATTAGGTGCACAAAGAAAGTTCTTATCCTTTCTTTGTCTAGGCTTTATAATGTAGAAATAGATACAAGTGTCTTTTCAATGTAAATTATTTGAGATTGATTGATGGTATCTTATCACATAGATGTTTTAAAATATCTGACATTATAGGCAGAGCTATTTGGAAAGTACCTTGCAGCTTATCAAAACTGTCTCTAAACTTATAATGGTAGCTGAGATCCTCAGATTTTTGACATCAGAGATTCTACTTTAGAATCTATAACTGGGATATGACAGTGTGAATAAGTGTGTGTTGTGACTCTATGCTATGCAAAGCTACAATCAATGATAAATTTGCTTGCACCTTTTCATACCATAACTTCACCATAAAATGATCTGACAATTTAGGCTGAAATTTTTCATTCTGTTATGTACATTTAAATCTCAGTGGTATTTGTTTTGTATTTCCATACATGTACTCAGAGGTCATTTCGGGGGGGGGAACGCGGGGGAACACAGTTCCCCCGGGTGAGGTGCAGGGGGGCGGGGCACATGACGAAGCCCCGCCCCCTACTTCCAGCCGCCCCGCTTCCAGCCCTCATTCAGCCAGGAGGAGGCAGGAGAAGAGGGAGGGTAAGTTGCTTCCTCCCTGCCTCTCCCCACCCCTGCCTGCCTGGGGCCAGGGAGGGCCTTGGCAGGGCTTCCTCGCACTCCCGCTGGCCTTGCAGGTCCACCGTCGGGCCCCTGATGTCAGGGGGGGTGGCATATGCTAATGAGTTATGCTAATGAGTTCCCCTAGCTCTTTTTCTACGAAATGACCCCTGCATGTACTCATCATTGGACATATTGGCAGAATGCTTGGCAGCATCTGCACAGCTATGGTGTGGATGAGGCAGAAACCAGGACGAAGTTGGTCAATGCCAAGGTTGCTCATATGACCCTACAGGTGGAATTTCATTCCTGGAAAATGGGGAATAAGTCCCACTGATCACAGTGGGACTTACATACATGAACAGGATTGAGCTATACATTAGTTAATGTGCCACCTAGCTTAGATAAAAGTTATGAGGTTCAGAGCTCTCTCTATACTTTGACACAAACTGCTGTACAATGTGTTATTTAAGTCATTTCAGTGGAAGGAGCATCTGCTCACCTAAAGGGATTCATTTCCATCTTCCATTAACTGGGCAGCATGATAGCAAGAGAGTTCTACATGTAAGAAATCACTAGCTTAGTATAGCAATCTATAAATGATAGCTACACTGGCTCATTATCTCCCATTGATCTGATGTGGTTGGTGTGAATTTTCTTCACAACCTCAAATATGGCTATTGGTCAAGTTTCTTCAGGATAGAAGAGTGGACAACCAAGACCTTAAGCACATACTAATAGCAAGCAGAGAGAGCTGTACATCAAGGGCATTCATGCAGCAGTTTTTTGTTACTTCCATGCAGTTTTATTCTACATGTGATCATTCTTTTTTTGGGGGGGGGTATTTTGTGTGTGTGTGTGTGTGTGTGTGTGTGTGTGTGTGTGTGTGTGAGGGCTACATGTGACCATTCTTGAGTATGTTTACAGATGGAAGAATGTAACATGTCAACCAAAAGATCATGGATAGCATTACGATGAGGAAATGCACAGTGTCCTCAGTAACATAAAAGAGACCCTGGCTTCAGATAAATAACCTTCTATCCTCAGAAGCAAGCAATAAAATCCTCAGGTTTTGGACAGAGAGGAGAGGGTCGCCCTTTATGGAGACAAATAGGAAGGACAGTGATAACCATTTGCCCACCTGACAGGAAGAGGCAAGGCATATCACTTTTGAATATCCTGAGTGAGGGCAATAGATATTGAGAACATGCTCCTAAGTGTGACTGGATAGGGGGAATGGAGGGAAAAGTGGATACTCAACCCCCATTTCAGGATAAGAGAAACCCTCCCAGGTAGGAAAAAGTTTAAAAAGTTTAACATATTATGTGAAATGTGCACTATCCAAGAACTGTGGAATGGAGAGAATCAGAGAGCAGTGTGCATCAACCAGCCTCTCTATTTCAACATTCCATCTTTGCTTGTGTTTAAATAGAGATGTGTGTTAGTAAATAAAACCCTTTTTCCTTTTGAAGATCTCAGACTGTGACTGAAAGTTCTTACCCTAGTGCTTGGCCATTTGTCAACACATAGACCAAATAACTTCACAGGACTAGAGAATTAACAGGCAGGGGAGAGGGGAATGTGTAGCAGCTAAAGCACACACATAGAGCACCCCTGTCAGTGCTTCAAACCACTGACTGTAAGGGAATGGCAGAAAGGTGGCAGAAATCTAGCCTGTATGATAGGAAGAGGACTAGTGGGTTCAAACTGTCTCACACATGTGCACTGATCCACACCACTTCATGTGTGTTTGAAGGCAGTAAGAGCAAGCAAGAGGGAGAGGCTGCATCACTACAGAAACTAGCAAATCAAACAGTTATGGATCACTATAGGCTGGATCACTACAGATACAAGCAAATCAAACGGTCCCCAGCTATGGGAAAAATTGCTTCTGGGTTTACCTCTGGTTAAACTGATAAATTTTCTCACCGTTGTATATGTCCAAAGATGACGGATAATGTATAATGTTGGCATGTAGGAACTAAGTGAATCAGGTATATTTTCCCATGAAAACAGTCTGACTGTGATAGGAAAGGAAAATACTTTCAACGAAGTCCTATATTGATGTATTTAGCCCAATTATATTGTGCAACATTAAACACTGATAAGTGACACCGAGATTAAAAATGTAATACTTCTGACAGGATATCTAAGACGTGTGAACTCTGTATATTAGATAAAATATCAGAATCTTTGGTGCAAAGAAATAGTGAGGAATATCAATCAAAATTTGTTTCGGTACGGTTCTCTTTTTTTGGAATACCTTTCATTAAAAGAAGAATTTTTATCGAGCTTAGATACAATTATCGTAATATAATATTTTATCTTTTATCAATTCTAATTGTTATTGATATCTGTAGTTTAGAGATAAGCTGTAAACTGTATTCTTATTTTTATTGTCGAATACTGTATCTTGTTTATTATTTTCATTTTTTTAAAAAAAAGTAATACTAAAACCAAAAAACATCTCCCATGGGAAACAGAGAATCTTTATTTTGAGACAAATTATACTAATGTACGGAGCTGGCATGGAATCTAGAAAGCACTGTAGCTTCTTTAAAGTCTTTCTGGAATATATACAGCATTACTTCTAGATGGTTTCCAAGCAAGTGATCTATCATTTGTTGCCTTGGGCTCAATGATCATTGCTTAGTTAAAAAATAGAGGAAAGCAAATAGGGGGAAAGACAAAGGGATTAATATGGGACTGGTTAAACAAAATTGCATTACCTTTATTTTTCCAGTCAGACCTCCAACAAACAACATAGCATTTGCATCCACATCCAGAATGGTGTAACCAGGTGGCGAAATTGCACTGAAGGTGCTGGGTACAATGCTGGCTTTAGGACCTTCCAGTGCCCGTACTGAAATTGTTCCATTTCGCCCAGTCCTTCACAAAAAAGGGGGGATTTAACCATTAATACAATAATTAATGAACTTACAGATTGTCATGATCCAGTGTTCTTATATATATGAAAACATTTTATCTCTGTACACAAAGCTTAGTTACCAGGAGACAGTGCTGTGTCCCAGAATAATGGGCTGGTTTCTGAGCCCCTTAAAAGGGGTTAGCCATTAGCTGGGTTTTCTCACCGGCCAGACATCAAGATGGCTGCTTGACTGAAGATGTCCTAACCAGCAGGTAATTGTGGGGTGAAGCTGCCAATTTCATTCTTTGCATTTGGGAAAGATGTCTAGATGGGACCACCACAGCAGTATGTTGACTAGCTGTGACAGACCCATTTTTCTCTGTCACTGTAGCTTCCTGAAAATTCCCCTTTGCAGGTAGAGGGAACACTTTCTTGGTACTTTTCATTAATTGCTACTTATTGGTATTTTTTCTCTGTCAAGGAGAAAACAAATATCCACCATTTTAAGAGGCAATATTTTCCAGCTTCTAACTATGTCAAAAGTTCATTTGAACAGAACAAACAAAATGGAAGCCCTTGATTGAAAACTAAAATAAAGAAGCAAATAAATAGAATAAATCCTTTAGTGCAATTCTTTGTCCCATAGAACTGACTGTTTCATACAACAGCATTCTATATTTTATAAAACAGAAATATTTATCACAGGTTTTTTATTTTGCGTAAATTTCAGACCATTCAAATTCCTATCTGTTTTGCCTCAAATAGGTTATGCACAGCATTCCCTAGTGAACATTACCTGGGAAACAACAAAATAACAATATCATGCAAATCAGTAGCAAAAGCATTAAATAATTCTAATGGTGCCTGCAGTATAATTAGACTGTAAATAAAATTACGGGAGTACAATTAGGATGCTGAATTAATATAATTACCAAAATAGGAACAAGAACTAGTATATTTCATAGCAAAGACTAGTTAACAAGTACTGACATTTAACTAGTACGGCCTTTAGAATTCCTGTCAGATCTAATGCTAACAATATTAAAATGCTCCTATGATTCCCAGGTTTTACTCTTCCATTTCAACATTAGGCTCCACAGCACTGTTTATTACCTTTTTCCTAGGGCTTTTTTTGTAGAAAAAGCCCAGCAGGAACTCATTAGCATAATAGACCATACCCAGCAGCAGGAACTAATTAGCATATTAGGCCACACCCCTGACAGCACAGCTCATTCGCATATTAGGCTACACCCTTGTGTTACCAGAAGTGTGGTCACCCAGCCACACCCACCTTTTGCTTCTTATTCTCTTTACCTTGTTTGTTGACAAAACCCAGGGCTTTTTTTTGGAGCAGGAACTCCTTTGCATGTTAGGCCACACACCCCTAATTGTAGCCAATCCTAATGAGTTTCTGCTGTTGGGTGTGACCTATTATGCTAATGAGTTCCTGCTGGGCATGGCCAACTTGGGAGCCAGCCGGAACTCCATTCTTGTGCGTTCCTGCCCAAAAATAGGCCCTGCTTTTTCCAATGCCCTACTGTTCTGGATACCATCTGGACACTGGAGTTTCTTAGGGTAATTGTTTCATAATGCATGGGTTTGATTGATCTGCTATTGCTATTTATTGACCCTGCCAAGTGACCAACCTATTTAAACGTCATCCACCGCAAACATCCCCTCAGTCCACTGCCTTCAGTGTAAGGTAAGCCGCCCTGAGCCCTTTGTGGGTAGGGCGGGGCATAAATTTAATAATAATAAATAAATAAATAAATAAGGTCAGTGAGGTTCTATTACAAATAGATTAGAAAATGCTGTGTAACACAATGTATCTCAGTGTTCTTTCCCTTTTCTGCCATAATTTTTCGGTAGAAGGGGCAAAAATCCACAGCAAAGGTTCAAGGGCCTTTTCTTGGATATATACAATGTAACTTATATTTTAGGAGCATTTGTTGTAATTACTTTAAAACCTAATGATATCTATATTGATTTGATATTGAGAAATAATCACATGTGGCCTGAAATGCAGTGAGGTGCCTTAAATGGTGCCTCTGAGATTCTCTGAGGCATCACACATTGAGAGCACCAAACACATATTCATCATTAATAAGCCAAAATGGTCAGCAAAACAGACAGAAGTATACATTTCAGACTTAATGTGAAACTAGAGCCAGTTTGGTATTGTGGCTAAGAGTGGTAGAGTCTAATTTGGAGAGCCAAGTTTGATTCCCCAGTCCTCCACAAAAAGCCAGCTGGGTGACCTCAGATCAGTCACAGTTCTCTCAGAGTTTTCTCAGCCCCACCTATCTCACAGGATGTCTGTTGTGGGGAGAGGAAGGGCAGGTGATTGTAAGCTGCTCCAAGACTCCTTTGGATAGTGAAGGGCAGGGTATAAAACCAACTCTCCTCCTCCTCCTCTGTGGTTAGTTTGCCCAGATATGGCTCACAGATTCAAATCCTTATTTGGCCTCAAAAATGCTGGTTTCATCACCTTTTCTCTAACCAGGCATCTGTGTAGTGCTGGAGTGTTTGAAGCCATGTAACAGACCAGGATTCATCCAGGATGTAAAACTAACTATGGCTTAAACTAACTTCAAATATGTTGCAAATCCTGGTTTGAGGGCCCATAAAGGTAAAGGTAAAGGTTCCCTTGCTCGAAAGCCAGTCGAATCCGACTCTAGGATTGCGGTGCTCATCTCCGTTTCAAAGCCGAAGAGCCAGCGCTGTCTGAAGACGTTTCTGTGGTCATGTGGCCGGCATGACTAAACACCAAGGCGCACAGAACGCCCATACAATCACATTAACCATTTTTAGCATAAGTAAACCATAATTTCATAATATGTCTGGCTGAACCTATATCTCTGTCTTACCAGTCATCAGGTAAGATAATTTTACAATGAATTGCTCTCTCTGATCATTATCCAGGACAAGGGTGCTTGTCCTGTCCCCTTAGGGGGGTAGGGCTGCCAGATCTGATCTTCTCCCCAGCGTGGAAATTAGGGGGTGTTCCAGGAGGGGGCATGGCCACCCCAGCACAATGACATCACTCTGCATGTTGTCATCACACTCCACTTTCCCCCTACCATTTAAAGGGAAACTTCCCTTTAAATGGGGGGAAGCAAGGCAGGAGCTGATGGCCCCTATTTGGGAAGAGTGGGCGCCAGCCACTCCTGTCTTGCAAGAGGTGATCTTGCCTCTTGCAAGGCAGGAGTCAACAGACCCCACTTGGGAAGAGCAGGCGCCGGGTGCCCGATCTCCAAGTCGCATTGCTGCTTGGAGATTGGGCACGCGGGGGCCTGGTCCCCACTGGCTGTGAGCACTTAAAGGGGTCCCTTTAAGTGCTTGCAGCTGGTGGGCCCCGAGCGCCTGATCTCCAAGTGGCAATGCTGCTTGGAATTCAGGTCCATGGCTCACAGCCACCCCTCTCCCTCCCCTGTCTCAAGAGAGAAGGGAGAGGGGTGGCTGTGGGTTTTTTGGGTTTGGGGGCGGGGCTTTCCCCACTGGCCAGCTGGCCTGGTGGTTGGTTGAACCCCCCAAAAGCAGGTAAACCCCAGCAGACCAGGAGGTCTGACAACCCTATGGGGGGAGGGTATCAATGATAATAAACCTGCCCAGCAGGGCATTTGTTCAGACAGGACATGGGCCCAGAGGGCATTTATCGGTGGACTGAGCCTCTTTACTAAACAAGATATCCTCCCCATCTGCTCCTGGCAGACAGCATTCTCCATGTCCCTGGAGAGGAGACACAGTCAGGATATAAGAGAATTTTACAAGGAATAGGCCGTATTCAATTAATAGTAAATAAGTGAAAAATGAAGGTTCATGATTTCCCTGGAGAAGCTGACAGAAATTCAAAATATACTCCATGTTGGGCAGGCTCCGTAAACTGCAGGATAGAAACCTTGGAAATAAATAAATTAATATGTAATTTGATTTTAAATAATCTTGTTGCTTCTCTGGATCTTCATCCCATTTTTCCTGTGAAATGATGCGCTGTCCTCTTTTTAGTGCTTCGCTGTGTTTCCTGTTCCTTAAAGTTATCCATGTTCATGCCAGGAATTATTAGGATAATGTATATTTCAAGGATGCCTAGTATATCACAATCTAATTCAATTTAAGATTGAAAATGTAAATTAGTTTACTATAAACTATTGTATTCCTGAACAATGTTAATTCTGGGCTGCTAAGTGTATTTCAGGTGCCCTTTGTAGATTATAGCAGCAGTTTCACGGCCACTTTTCCATGATTTCAGTGACACCTTAAAATTTAAAGTACCAAATTAAGAATGGTTTTAATGAGGATCCTTCTTGAACCTTTCTCTCTCTTCAACCTCCTTCCCAGTCAACTGTCAGTTCTTAACTGTCATTCTTAACTGCCACTCCTAACTGCCACTCTCAACTGAGTAATTCCCTCTGAATCCCATCACTCAAGGCTCTCAGATTGCGTTAAAGCATTAACCTTTTACTGTCCATCACATGTCCCACCCTATTCCAGTTCTCTAGCTGTATCTGTTGCATCAGAAAGGCTGCAATCCAATGCATAGTAAATTAATTTACATTTTCAATCTTAAATAGAATTATATGGAAGTTCATACAAAGGACTACACTGATAACAGTTTAAATTTATCAGTTTTTCTCCCCTGGGATTGGGGGGGGGGATACCCATTGACATAAGAAAATTAAGGCACATTGCACTGCAGCAACTGTCCTACTTAGATGATTTCTAAATCTATTTACTCTGTGAAACTTTGCATCTAAAAATAAAAACTATCGACAGAACAAAATTAAATTCAATTAGGATTAATATTCTTAATCATATTTGATTTTGAATTGATGTTATACAAATTACTGGGTTCTGTTTTCTATTTATAACTAGAAGAGTCATTAAGTACTTAGAGTACACAAACACATATAGTACAGATTGGAATTAACAATATAATTAGCTTTGCAAGTCATTAGTGCTACTACAATGTTAATTATATGAAGCATTACATTCTCTGCTCTAAGGCAATACTACTTAACACTTACAAAGGAAAAACAGGAAAAAATATAATAATAAATACAGTAAAATAAGCTAAAATTGCTTTTGTATCAAATACAAAAATTGCTTTTGTATCAAATACAACCTAAAAAAAATGTGGGGGCAAAGGACATGGGATAAATATAGATAGTTCAGAAAAGTATAGCGCAGGAATCTGAAAAACTGTTGTGGGTTTGGTCTCTGGGATCTTTAATCTCTTCTACTTTAACATTTATTACAAACATTTGTGTTCCACCCATCCTCAAAATACATTTAATGCCTCTTTCGGGTTCAAAGGTTTATAAATGCTGCTGTAGGTCTGAGGAGATCTGGCTTCAGATCCCCACTTGGCTTTCAAGCTCACTAGGTGACCTTGCTAAAATCACTTGCTCTCAGCCTAATCTTTCTCATAAAGTTGTTTTGAGCATAAAAGACAGGATGGCAGAACCACGTATGCTATTAGAAGAAGAGATTGGATTTATACCCCACCCTTCATTACCCAAAGGAGTCTCAGAGTGGTTTACAATCCCACTCCCTTCCCCTTTCCACAATAGACACTCTGTGAGCAATGTTCCCTCTAAGGCGTGCAGTCTTGTGAGCAGAAATTTTATCCTGTGAGCCAAAAGTGGTGCTAGCTTTAAAACTGTGAGCGGGCTGACTTTAAAAAAAAATTATTTCAGTGTACAAACATACAAAACATACAGATATAACATATATACTATTATCATTTGTATTACAAGCCATATATTTACTTATTTATATTGAACATATTTGTATTACTTATATGACTCTTTCCAACTATATTTTAGAAATGATTTATACATCATAGCCGTGAACAGTATCATCAAGTTAGCTAAGTCATCCTAGCCTCATGCCTTAGCCTTATGTCCCCCACCTTCTAATAATAAAGCATACACACCCTCTGCCTGCCAACTCCAGAGTGATCAGCCATGATATTTTATTTTAATTAAGAGCCAACACTGAGAATGCTATTTGAAAATCATTAGCCAACTCTGTTCAAATTGGGAAAATGCCCTCTTCACAGTGAAACTGCTGCATTATCGAGACCGAGAGAACATAAAAATGCATTCTGTGGCAAGGTACCAACAAGGCTCACTGGAAGCTAAATACCAGTGGCAAAAGGAATAGTATACAAGGAAAGCATATAGGTCTGGGGAAGGAGATTTGAACTGAGAATCCTGGAATTTACAGAGCTATTCTGAACTAAAATTTTGCAGGAGCATTTATAGCAGATTGAAGAAAACCACAGCAAAAATACAATGTGCAACCTAGCTTTCCCCTAAAGCTTGACTTGGAGGAGGGAGAAACTTGCCCATGGCCTACGATCCTGCACAGATCCCAGTGTGGGTGCTCCAGCCAGGGCTGGTACCAGGTTTTTTTGCACACTACGCGAGGCCACCTTCTGCCCCCCCCGTGTGCCCACCAATTTTGAAACATAAATGCATTTCAGAAAGAATGAAAAACACAAAAATTGAAATTGCTAATTTTGTTTTTTGTGGCACGCACTGCATTTATCAAGTATACCTGGTGTGAATCAGTCCCTAAACTATGGAAGTTGACCCAAAGAGCAGCAGGGCACTCTGCATGCAGAGTTAGATTGCTGATACAAAGTCTCATACATTTCTGCCTCAACTGCTGTTCCATTTAACTGGGTGCCTCTAAGTCCTGGTGTTATGGGAGAAGGAGGGGAAAAAGTTTGATATCTCTCTCCACATGGAAATAAATTCAAGGAGGGGGAGGTTCTGTTAGATTGGCAGCAGAAGAAAGCCAGTATTCTACACCGTGGAACAGATTTCTGTGAACAGGGAGGGATGATGGACTCAAGTAAAAAAGCCCCTCGCCACATTCTCTTCCTCATTTTCTACACAGTCTGAATTGGGCAGAAGGCGCTGGGTTATTCTTAAGAAAAAAGCCTTTCCTCCCCAAGGAACCTTTGCAATGAATGTTAATTGTAATATGTGTGTGTGTGTGTTTAATTTCTGGGAACCACTCTTCTGATTGAAAAGCAGGAATAAAATATAAATGCATAAAATGGCAACAAAGTCCTATGGACCAAGTTGGCAAATGTTCAGGCCATGCGGGGGGTGGGGGGGCTCTCTGCCTAGCTTTGAATTTTACAGGAATTTTTAGGCAAGGTTTATTCTGGGTTGCTCCAGATCTCAATATCCCTCTTTTTGTTTGTTTAAATCTCAGGGTTTCTTCCAAGGAGCTCAGGGCAGCCTGTTTCTGCCTTCCCCATTTTATCCTTACAACAACCCCATCCCAGACACCTCCCTGTTCTTCTTGTCACCAGTGCCCAGTGAACTGCTGGCGTCAGAAACAAGCTGGCAGAATAACAGAAGTTACCTCTCTGTCTGCCCGTTGCTCCGCTCTAAACTCCTCTCATGTGCAAGAACGAGGAGGTAGAGAGAAGTGGATCTCTCTTCAGGACACAAACTTTCCTCACTCTCCTGTGTAGGCCATCCCTACAGGTAGAAATCTAGCCCTGCAGGGAGTGGAATGGGCTAGCCACTTTCTCCCATGCTTTTTTTTTCAATGACTTGCTGAGGTTGTTTTTTGCATGGGGAGAATCCAAAACTTGCCCCCCAAATCGGCAGGGTCACTGCGGGCTCTGTGCCCCCCCCCCAGGGCTCCTGCTCCTTCCTTGGGCTCCAAGCACTCTGATCCACGCCTCCCCGTGCAGGGCTCTATTCGTGGCATGGTGGGGAGACATCTCTGCAGGGCAGCTTTGGCAGTGGTCAGGACTGCCTCACCCTCCACGGGAAAGGTTGCAGGGTGCAGCCGCAAAAGGCCCAGCCATGGGCGAAGGGCGGGCCTGACCAGCACTGCCTGCGAGCAGGAACATCCTGAGTTGGTGCACGCCTGGCAGCACCCTCCTCTGTGACTGAGTCGGTCAAACCGGCTAGACTCCATCCCTGGCGAAGCGTCTTGAAGGCTGGGGGAGGAGCTGGGCAGCCTCTCCAGCGGCACTGGCACCCTTGTGAGTCCATGAAGGTGGACCGCGGCCCTGTTCAAGAGGCCTGGAAAGTCTCCCCTTGCCCTGCCTGCAACACCGCGCAGGAGGTCGGTGCCCTCCCCCTCCTTGCTGGACGGGGAGGGGGCGTGTGCTTGGGAGCCAGCCGCTTCCCCACGAGGGAGACCTTCCTTCCTTCACCCTGCTGCAGAGGAGAGAGTCCAACCAGTGCCTCAGGGAGGCCCATAGTAGCTGCATGATCTGCTGGGTGCAGAGAGGGGTGGGCTCCCGGGAAAGTCGCTGGCAGGTGGAGCGAAGCTGGCAGGCAGAGTGAAGAGGGTGCTGCAAGAGGCTGATGCCCAGAGATGGCTGCGCTGTGAAAAAAATTGCTGCGCTGGTTGGGGAAAGGTGTGAAAAAATGTAAAGTACATAATATGCACTGTTTATGAACTTCCTGGAAATATCTGGCTGGCTATAAACCATTCATATGCTGAATAGATAGACATTTCACCCAACTAAGCAGAGCTTTTTTATTTTCATGGCATTGGAAGTTACACAAGAAGGGCAAAAAAACCCAATTCTTGAAACTCAGAGAATGCAAGCGCCCTTATAGCCATCTCATTCATGGAGCATTTCTCAAAAAGCATGGCAGGCTGCAAAGTAATGCTCTAGAATTACAAAAACTAAAACTATCCATCTTAGAAGGGTAGAAAGTTTGTAACTGTAGGTTCTATTTCATCCATTCAATTTCTAAACAACCCTTGTTTTTGTATACCTACCTTTTAAAAGTGGAAAGGTCTGGGTGGAGATGAGAGATCAATGATCATGGTGCCACTACTGTTCACAACACCATCCATTTAATCTCAAGGTTAAACGGAAACTGAAACATAGCATCTGCACTTGATATCAGAACACAGTTGTGGTGGTTTGTGGGTGGAGAGAGACTCATAGAAAAACATAATACTTGCCTTGATGCTTCAATTCGGTACCAAAATCCATCATCTATTGTCAAATCTGGGTATTCAATGCGCCCAACTCCAGATCCCACATCCCATAAGAAATCCACTTTGCCTTTACGCATTTCTATGGCCAAAAAGTCAGTCTACGATAAAACATTTTTTGACAAAAATCAACAATAGAAGTGAAATTAGCATATTATCAGTAAGCAAAAGCAGTAACAATAGCAGAGGCAAGGAATAAGCAATCAGTAAAACAGTGAAAATAAGAGGTGATACATGAAGTAAGAAGTACCCTGCCCATACTCCATGTTCCTTAACATCCCATTACCAGAAATATATTTTATATAATTTATGACGCACTGTAGGTCATCTTTGACCATGACAATATATCCTACTTTTGAGGGTCAGTCAATTAATTATTCTAGCAACATGTAATTTCTCCATTCATTGGTTTACTCCAAATAATTTGACTATGTAGTAAATAAAAATGACCATACTATACCATAGTGCAGACATAGCATAAATATGAGAAGGGATTAACACCTCATGTGTGCAGAAGTGTGCTCAGACAGCATGCCTGGCCAGTATGGGGATTTAAAAGTCTCTGTGTATCACCTGTATTCCCACATATCCCCATATATTCCCTCCTCAGTGCCAGTTACTCATACTTCAAGTTCCAGTAATTTGCAATGGGCTGGAAGAGATGACTTTATGAGGATATGGGAGGCATACAAAGACCACCAATATTCGGTACTATACAAATCATAGTGTACATGTCCTTTATTCTGGCAAGATCCTTTTTATCAATTGCTCGTTTACTAGGAAAAAAGTAAAATATTACTAGTTTAGCCATTTTTATTTACTCCTCTTGCTTGAGTTAGGGAAAATAAAGATTGTAAATGGTCTAATGCAGGGGTATCGAACTCATCTGTTATGACGGCCGGAACTGACATAAATGAGAGCTTTTGGGCCGGACCACGTGTGTCATAAAATATAATGCCAGGTAGTGGAGATATAAACTTTATAAAGGACACAAACACAAAGGGTTTTTTTTTACTTAAAATAAAAACATGCTTAAAAGATTAGCCCTCTTGCAATATTTTGTTTATTTAACAGTGTCTGATAACTGACACCTCTTGCTCTGAATTACGGCATCAAAATGTCTCTGCTGTTGCAATCTTGAATATGCTGTTCAGGTGTGTATCTGTAAGCTGCAAACCTACGATGATGCAGCAGCAGCAGAACTGGAAGAAGAAACAGAAGACAGCCAGTTCCACTGTGGGCCCGATAGAAGCCCTCCGGGGGCCTAATCCAGCCCCCGGGCTACATGTTTGACACCCCTGGTCTAATGTATGTCTAAAAACAACAACATTAATATTGAGGATGTTGATGGAAAATATGTTCTAAAATATTTCAAATTAATGAATATATGATGTCATTTGCTTAGTAGTTCTGATAAAATAATTTTCTTAGAAGCAGTAAGGGCCAAATTAGAAGTTATGGAAGCACAACCCAAGTGTTACACAGTGGGTTGTGCCCATTTCCTATGGAAAAGGGTAGCTGGGCAATTTAAAGTTGAGCATGAAAAAGCAGGTGGAGTTCTTTACTAGCTCATGCTTCCATTCTATAACCAGTTCACAAGTCTTCTCTATGGGGGACTTCTGGTCTTAGACCCCCAATCAGGAGAAAAAAGGCTGGACAGAAACACCTACTAGGAGAAAAGAATATGTTTGAAAAATCTACCTGACTTGCAGATCTCTGTATCTAGATTCTGATTTCTTGAGTTAAGAAACAACAACTACACATTTTGTAATTACCTTTTACCAAATTCTTACATATACTGTGTGCTTCTGAAACCAAGGCAATAATAATCTTTTATTTTCATTAATTTTGAAAGCCTTGACTTGAAATCAAGGTACAGTGAAATCACATAACTGGTTGCTTGAAGTCCGACCAACTTTTCCTATGCAAATCCCATTAAAATAGGATGTGCAAGAGTCCTATTGCACAAATCCCATGCACCTGAATTGACTTGCACAGGAGAGGTGTTTTGTCCTTTGCCCCCAAAGAAACAAAGAGCACACACCTGAAAGGTATAAACAAGACAATGCTACGACATTTTTAACTCCAGCTTTTATATCATTAAAGTTGCACAACCAGATTTTCCACAAAAAACAAACACAAAGCTAGTTGTATAATTGCGACAGCCTGTAACAACAGAAAAGGTGGTTCTTTTGTTTGCCTTTACTGCAAGCTGCAGTAATTATCTAGCTTTCCATAGTTCCCCCAGCCTTATGCTGCCACTTTGATGACATTTTCATTTCTACAGATATTAAGGTGTCAGTGTACAAATCTGATTAATGTTTACACAAAAGGTAACAGCAATCCAGACTTACAAATCTGTTACTTCCAAGATAAAAAAGTAGGTTGTCCGCGACTGTTGTCTTCACGTTGAGAATGACAGTGTTGTAGCTTCCTTTTTTAATCTCTGGCCTGTATGTGCGAATGCAGTTGCCTCCAGAAGACACAGAAACTTTAATCTTAAACGGGGAGGGGAAGCAGGAAAGAGAACTCAATTTATGCAGCTCATTATCGCCCAGGAAACATTCAGATGTTACTAAACAAATGCAAATGGATTACATATTTGCTCCCTCTTTGCCACATGTTCCTAAGCAGACAGACTGAAACATGATTTTCTTTCAGGAATGCTGAGTTTTGATTATGGCAATTTTATCTGCCATGGGGTACTGACATCGTAATGTAATTCATGTTGTAATTACAATGCCCAGAATATGCCTAGAATATGTGACAGTGAATAAGGATCAGGTATGAGCATTTAGCAATGCCAGCTGAACTTATATTTACTGTGCTCGCAAATATGAACTTTAGCAGTTCATAATTCTCACCTTCTGTACTAAAATGAGCATGATAGCCTGCCAGTTCTCATATAGCTGAGCCAAGATTCCTCATTATATATCTCCTCCCATCTCTCCTTCCCTCCCTTTCTTCTCCCTTTCCAGCAGTTGTCTGTGGTTGCTGCTGCTTGTGATGATAGTGACAGCTGGCAACTGATGTGTGAGTGAATGGACATAGAAATCTCCCCCAACAACTCTCCTCTACCATGGTGCTTCAGAAGTAGTCTGTTCACCATTTGGGCACTGTAACCCTGTGACATTAACATATCAGGCACTCTGGGGGACTACATTTCACAGATTGCACTCAGACACAGCATTCTGTGGAAATGGAATCTGAGGTGCCAGGGAAGGGAGGCAGGCAGTGAGTGAGAGAGATCATGTGCTGTTGGCCTGTTGGCAGGTTGGCTGACCAGCCACCCACCTTCCTGTCCTGACAGCTCCCATGTAAACCTGGCCCAAAAGTAGCCACATTAAGTGCAGGGTGGCGTAGGGAGAGGAGGAGGAGGAGGAGGGTGGAGATTACTGCCAAATTACATTTTTAGTGGACATGGGTTCAATCCATGACCGCCAACGTCACCTTAGAGGAAAACTTTAATGTGGCAACAAACAATCTTGCCCCCCTCCTAGTCTGTTTTAAACTGTCAAAACAGTCCCTCCATGGCTGTTTCGGCACTTGGAAAAGTGTGGGGGTGACAAGATTGCCTGGTGCCACCACAGTTTGGGCCCAATCAGTATCCAGCCTTCGCAGCAATTTTTAAACAGGTAAATTTCCCTTTAAAATGGCATTGGAGGCCACAGGTGGGCCCATGTGCACTGTAATATGTACTTTGTCCCTAAATTGTCTCATAACCTTTTATGAAGTATTTTGAGCTCAGACTAAGGCTTGAAATAATCGAAGTTGCTTACTGATTTTTTTTGTCTCATTGCTTAAATTTCCTGAGCCCAATTCCAAGTGAGCTCAGTGGGGAGGAGTGGGGTTTGAGGTATCTTTAATGACAACTCAATTGCTGAATATATTCAGAAGTATATAGCTAATGAGCTCACAAAAGTAGCCAAGCACACAGTCTAGGGTCCATCTGCTACTTTGCTTTGAATGCACTCCTCTCTGCAGCACAGTATTTGCACTAAGGGACTTTTTCACATATTTTAATTCTACCGGCAGTTGTTGCTAGTTCTGTCTCAGAGGAACTTTTCTAACTTCTAAAACTAATTATCTAATACTCATTAAGGGTTCACTTGGCGCTTACAGTAATATTATTGCCATTATGAACAGAAGGCTTGGGCTTTTATGTGGGAATAATAAAAGACTCAATAAGGTCCAAAATCATTTGTTTTCTTGAGTCCACAGATTCTTGTTACCAAAAAGGAAGTAAGCAATTTCATTTGGCTTTTCAAGTTTATGAACTGAAATAAAAAATACAAGCTGATGATGGTACATCTGAGCATCATATTCAAAATGGGAAGGTTTCAATCACAGAAATAGAGATCTGTGGAAACCCACCTAGAACCACTCACACATACATCTGATCTATGGTTGTATAACTGTGTATACGATACAGTGTGGAATAATACAGGTTGCATGTGTGAACCAGCTCTAGGATTTTACCCATGGTACCAAAGACAACTGTAAGAGTGTGAGAAAATGTGCAATGGAGAGACAATTGGTAAAGATTAGTTCAAGTGAACCTACATAGGGTAAAATTTAGCCAAATTCCTTAAAACAATTTGCTGTGCAAAAAATGTACAAATTCCAACTTGTGATAATGACTAGAATCAATTATGACAACTAAACATTTTTTTAGGCATATGAGTATGTCATTGTAACAATTCCATGCCCAGAACCATTAAGGAAAAAAACACCCACTGACATCAAGAATCTGATATGTCCCTTTTCTGAAATTTAAACACCTGCTTAGAAATACCTGAAAACTTTTGAAAGCACTGGGTGAACATGTGTTTCAAATCTTGAAAAACCAGGACAAGAACAACTAGCTCTAAAGGCTTCTATATATTTTAATATTTGCCTTAATAGTATGATTAAAATGCCATTTGGGGTAAATTACTGATCTGCCATTGGTGCAAATTATCCTTCAACACACAGTGAAAAATAATAGCAGAGAAGTCTGACTACTCAGTGGCATGATTAACATTAGGAAAATAGCCTTGCAATCCATAGGCTGTAATTATTTCAGAGGTGAAAGAAATCATCTGTTGCCTTGCTTCTTTTCATATGAAGTGTTACTTATGAAGTGAACAGCCCATTTTATCATTATTATTGCACACACTCTCATTTTGGTATTCCTAGTGCAGCATGATGCTTTTGCCTGAATTAAACAGTAGCTCAAAATGTTCGTCTCTGAGGATTTTCTTTACAGATTCTTGTAGGTCATACGGCAAATAAGTTTCATGTTACCAGCTGATTCCTGAGTTTAAAATGTAATTACACTGGGAAGACAGATTTGGGAGTCAGTAATGAGGCTAGAGAATGCTGCTCTTAACCCTAGGACACAAGGTGGGGGGAAAAATCAAGAAAATGGGGAAATGATTCCATTTAATACACATGGTGATACTGCAAAGGTGTTGGCAGGTTTCATACATAACACCCATGCCTGATGATATTTAGACTTATATATAGCTGGAGCAATGTGGCCTTTATTATATCGGAAGGATTAATGTAAACATTTGAGTAATTACTGCCTGTTTTGTTTATGCTATGTAATAACAATATTTGTATTTGGCTTCCACAAATGGAGCAAAATTGGGGATCTGTTTTTTAGCATGTTACCTTTCTCCCAGCAAGTCCCCTAGACTGCTCTCAAAACCAATTCAGAAGGTTGGGAGACCTTCCAGAACTGCATGTAGCATAGTGTGGGATGGCTGCAGTAAGAAGCAGGAAACTGGCCCCAAATTTCCCTCCTTGACTCCTCCCACTTACTACAGTCCCTCCTGCCACTTCATATTAAGCTAGATCAGGGTCACCTGATCCACAGTAGTGGCTTTTCATATGGTGCAGGGGTTAAAGAAATATAGGAAAAATGGTTTCCATGAACTAGCAGCCTCAACAGATGTCTTGGATCGAGTCTAATAATAAACCTTTGTTGGTCTTAAAGGTGCCACTGGACTCGAAATTTGTTCTATCAATATACTTATAACTTCTTAAGGACTAACACCTGTCAAAGCACAGAGCAAATGTGGACTCCAAATCCAGTTATAAGTACTGGATTACTTGTGATATATTTGATACATATTAAAGGGTACTACAATCACACAATATGACCACTGCTTTCCCAGCAGCTTTGTCACATATGCAAGGACTACAATGAACACACAGGGTGGGACTGACTCACTCTCTTCATCCTGGGAAAAGTTTCCTTCTTCAGCTAAACATTCATGAATGTATTAATGCCGTGACCTCTGGTTTTTAACTAGTAGTATGTCTTTAGACATACATACCAGCTTACCTATAACTGAGGCCAATTCACATTTCCTGACAAATGCATGAGAACTGCTTCCACGTGGTGTTTGCCATTCTATATAACAGAACATTGTTGGCAAGACCAGTATCAGTTCCATCAAATCCACATAACATCTGTGGTTCATTCATGTTGGTGTTACCAAGCAGCATGAAAAGTGAGTCTCATCATGCTGCCAGCAACTCTTAGATCACCAAAATGCAAACATGTGGGTGTGATGGACAGGAGGCTGTCCTGCCCCTGAAGGAGAAAAGTCGCTTGAGCCTATGGGAGTGCTGCTCCTACATCCAACCTTTCAGAAGGGGGGGATGGAATGGTGGAGGGAAACACAGCAGGAGTTCAGTTCAGGTCTGCCTCAGGGAGAGGTCAGGGAGAGCTCAGGACTGGCTCAGAAAAAGAGCAGACAGACTGAAGGGTAGCTTTGCTTGACAGTGTGGCAGAGTGGTCTCACTCTACATCTGAGAGAGAACAGAATACCTGATTGCTAGGCCTGTTTCTGGTAACAAGCAGACCTTGTACCATTTAGGGAGGTATGGCGGTGGGAGAAGGTATTGGAATGGAAGGAGATGGCGATACAGTTATGCTCGGTCTCCTTCCAACCTTCATCCCATCTGGAGACACATTGGTGAGATGGCTAGGAAAATAAACCCCACTTCAACACTGATGATGTGCAATGCCAGGTCCATCATAATAAGACCATGATGCTGCAAAACTATATTGCAGCGCAAGACATGGACCTGGCATCTGTGACTGAGACCTGGGCAAAGGAGGGTGAAACAGTCTCCTTGAAAGAGCTGACCCCACCAGGTCCCTGGGTCCTTCATCTGTCCCAAACTGAGGGGCAAGGGGGTGGCAATACTCATCTGAGAGGTATTTTCCTTCAGGGTACTCCCCGTTCCAAAGATTGCTGATATTGACTGTGTTGGCCTAGTTTGGGACACTGAGGAGAGTTTGGCTGTCTGTCTGTGGACAGCCTACTGACCCTGCTGGAGGTGGTAATGGGCTGGGCCTTGGAGTTCCCTAGACTGATAGTTCTGGGGGATTCATGCTGACACTGCCGCCTCCTTGCAGGCAATGGACCTAGTGTCTTCCATGGCAGCACTGGGACTCTCCCAGATTGTATCAGGTCCCACACACCAAGCAGGCCATGCA